TCCCTACACGACGCTCTTCCGATCTGTTTGTGCTGCTGCTGGTGCTGCTGGAGCTGCTGTTGGTGCTGATGGCGTTGCTGGTGCTGCTGTTGGTGTTGCTGCTGCTGGGGCTGATGCTGCTGCCGTTAGTGCTGGTGCTGGTGCTGCTGTTGCTGCTGCTGGTGCTGCTGCTGGTGCTGCTGCTGTTGAGTTGGCCACCGCATGGGGGGGGGGCTTGCTGCAGCTGGTGCGATTGTTGCTGTTGCTGCTGCTGCTGCTTCTGACGCTAAGGGCTCGAGAAGCGGAAAAGCTGCTGCGGTGCAGCAGCACCAGCAGCAGCAACTGCTGCTGCTGGACTAGTCCTGTCCCTGCTGCTGCTGCAGCTGCTGCCGCAGCAGCTCCTGCTGCATGCGCTGAAACACTTTGGGGCAAACAGCCTGCAGCAAACCTTCGAAGGATTCAAAAATAGCAGCAGGGTGCTGGGGTGTACGTACACCCCAAGCCTCCAGCTGCTGCAGGCGCTGCTGCTGCTGCTGCTGCTGCTGCTCTTTTTGCGCCTCTTCCCCTTCGTCCTTGCCCAGCCCCTGCGGTTGCTGCAGCAGCAGCAGCTGCTGCTGCTGCTCCGCCTTGATGGCAATTTGGGGCGACTGGCCAGGCAGGCAGTCGAGGTGCAGCAGCTGCAGCAGCAAGGGGACAAAGCAGCACAGCAGCAGCAGCAACAGACAACTAATCGACAAAGCGGAAAGCAGCAGCAAAACGACAGCTTCAGCTTCAAGAACTGTGCCGTATTGAGGATTCGCGGCTGCAGCAGGAGTGACAGCACTGCAGCAGCAACAGCAGAACTGCAGCAGCAGCAACAGCAGCACTGCAGCAGCAGCAGCACAGCAGCAGCTGCTGCTTAGATATCGTACTCTAAGCCCGTCGATTTGCAAACTGACGAAGAGCAGCAAAGAGCCCAAGGGGTGGCCTAGTGCGCACAGAAATAGCTGCTGCTGCTGCTGCTTCTGCTGCTGCTGCTGCTTCTGTTGTCCCAGCTGCAGCTGCTGCGTTTGCTGCTGCCGCTCCTGCTGCTGTTGCCCAGTAAGCAAAGAGCTGCGCAGCGGATCCCCAGGCGTTGCAGCAGCAGCAGCAGCAGGAGCGCGAATTGCGGCAAACTCAGCAAACGGGGTGTATGTACGGCGCAGACAGTCGATCTCTTGCCGTAGTAGATCGGCAGGACAGACCATGAGGGTTTAGGGTTTAGGGGTTTAGGGTTTGGGGTGTGCGGTCTAGGGTTTAGGGTTTGGCGTTTGCACAGGCAGCTGAGGGTGCAAAATGGAGCATCGTGAGCTGATAATGAAAGGAAAAAGGAATGGCGAAAAGCAGCAGCAGCATGTTGGTGCTGCTGCTGCTGGTCCGGGCTGCAGCAGCACCACCGACCCCACCGTGCTGCTGCTGCTGCTGCTGCTGCTGCATGCAGCTGCATGAACTGCAGCAGCAGCGCTCTTTAAATGCTGCTTAAAAGAGATTATTTATGAAATTATGTTTCCAGTAATTCTTGTTGCCGCCATATCGCACGGACAGCAGCTGTAGCAGCAGCAGCTGCTGCATGGCACCAGCAGCAGCAGCAGCAGCTGCTGCTGAAGCAAAGCGGAGAGACCAGACAGACTTTTTATTTTATTACTTCTGATCAAGCCTTCTTTTGCCTGTTTGTCCTTCGCAGCAGTGACAGAAGCAACAACTGCCGCAACAGCTGCAGCAAAAGCTGCCACAGCAGCAGCAGCAACAGCAGTAACTGCAGTTTCACTGGCAGCAGCTGCGCTTTTCAAGGGCGTCAATGTTGGCTGACGGCAGCAGCAGCAGCAGCAGTGGATTTCCATCTCCTGCATCGCTGCTGCTGGCTCCAACAGCTACAGCAGCAGCAGGGCTTTTCAGTGGCAAGCGCAGCAGCGACGCCAGCGAAAAGCAGCAGCAGCAGCAGCAGCAGCAGCAGCAAATGATGCGGCTTGTGCTAGAACTGTGGGGCCCCCGCTTTGTTTCAGATGTTTTGGCCTGGGAAGCCCTCACGTTCCCTACCGTCCCATCAGCAGCAGCAGCAGCAGCTGCTGCTGCTGCTGCTACTTCTGAGAGCAGCAAAAACAAGCTCGACAAGCATCAGCCTCGCAGAGGGTGCGACAAATGCTGCTGCTGCGGCGCGTGCTGCAGCAGCTGCTGCTGCTGCTGTTTGCTGAAGGAAGCTGAGAGAAGACTGAGACAAGAAGCAGCGCTGCCGCCGGCGCAGCCGCCGCCGCAGCAGCAGCAGCAGCAACATCACTACCTTCAGCAGCAGCAAAAGGGTCTCCCGTCCGCCACGCGAGTTGTGAAGGAGTACGCGCAGAAGGTAGCAGCAGCAGCTGCTGCTGGGCAGCAGGAGCAGCTGCAGCAGCTGCTGCAGGGCCTCAGGGAGGAGCCGGACATGCAGCTGCTGCTGGGGCCACAGTTCGAAGACAGCAGCAGCAGCACAAGCAGCAGCAGCATCAGCCTTCTCTGGCAGCAACAGAAGCTGGCTTTGCACGCCGCAGTGATTCGCGCTGCTGCTCTCGAGTTGCTGCTGCACCTGCTGCTGCCAATTCAGCACACCCTCCGCACCTGCTGCCTCTCTTGCAGCAGCAGCAGCAGCTGCAGCAGCAGGAGCAGCAGCAGCAGCAGCATTGACTGGGGTGTGGGCGTTTTATCCTCTCTTCGCATTTTGTCTCGGGAAGCAGCACTGGTCTCGCTGCGCCATGAGCTTTGCGCAGACAGTGCAGCAGCAGCAGCAGC